CCACCAGATAACTGAAGTACGAATCACATAAACTCACCGTCCTGACCAACGAAAATAGAGAAGATAGAGATGGAGAAACTTGGTGATGACGGGAAGGAAATCGAGTGCTGACAGAGAGATGAAAGCAGTAGATACTTTCCAGTTACCAACAGTGTATGGTGCCTGAGGTATCAGAAAAGAAAATTGGGTTAGTAAGGTGGTTCCATCGTGTGTGTGTGTGAACAATGCTACGAACACACCAATAGTCAAAAACCTGTAACCTCTTTATAGCTGCTATTTGCGAGGGCCATGTTTAATAGGTACACAATAGGCCAGAGCCTGCTGGTGCACAGTATGTTCGTCATCGATAGGTAGTCGAAAGTGTCATTGGTGCTACAAGTGGCGTAAGTCGGTGGATACCAAACGGGGACTTTGAATCCCAGCTGACTCCATCAGCAACCAACCCGTCTGGGCTAATCCAACTTCAAAAGTGAAGTAGTCAACGTACTCGACAACTGTAGTCTATATCCTTAAACTTAGAGTAGCTGCAAACTAGTCTTGAAGCATCATCTCACATGTGACAAGTTGAGACGCATCCTAAACAAGGTGTTCATAAGACCCAGTATCTCCACAACAGGACTATATCCTCTTTGTATTTTAAGGAAGCCAGGCACCTCCGGGTATTAACTGGAAGTACGTAAAATCTTACTTGAGGGCACACCTATGGCAAAGTTAAACAAGTATGGTAACGATGGATACATTTGGTGGATACCACTGGACGTCTTTACTTTAGATGTCAACTTTAGTAAGCTCTTACACAACTACGTGAGCTTGAGTAGCATAACATACTTGCTAAATACCCCTTTCACAGCTAAACACTGCCACAACAGTTCACCATCGATGGAATCAAATGTGACATTCTGGTTTGAAACCTGAATCGGTTTCTTCTGTTTGTTATTCTTTATTCACAGTTAGACGATGCATAGCTATGGACCTTGGAATTCTGGACGTTATTAGTCATCACAGGAGAATTTCTTTCCATTTTTAAACTATAATAATCAATAATGTAGACCAGTTTGAAGGCCCTACCTCCGATTTTTATAGGCTAGTTAGCACTTCAGTTACTCCATTTAGTAATTCTCTACACCTCCACCAACAACCTCTTATGTTTCTTTTCATCGTTTCTGATTTGAAAACGTTTTTTCGACTTCAATGAGAGTTGGAGGGTCAACATCTACAACCCACTCAAGTACCGGTTGGATGTTGGACAACTAGAGCAGCCCTGACCTGTTTTTAGTGTTTCGCAGAATTTCAAGTCACATGTCCCGAGACGTTATTAAGGATCCATTCCTTTTGGTAACAATGTGATTGATCATTGTCTTTTCCTTTGATAAGCCCTAGACAACTGCCGCGTGCTAACTAGGACCGATACTTTTTTGGTTCCTTTTGTCTTTGCTACCTGACAGTGCTCACAGTCCCCATAAATGCGGTTTATGTTTACGCTTGTCTCCACCCTTACTGTGATCAGAGCCAGACAAAATGAACCCCCAGCACCAACCAGTTTGGATGTGGCCGTAAAAATCCATCAGCTTTTATCAACCTTTCACTGCAGATTAGTAGTTGTCACCAACGCTGTTTCTATGACACTAAATATCGAGCCAAGCCGATGCACCTGTGTGCGAGGTTCTACGCTGGTTTTGTCAATCAACCAGTCAGTCATATGAGTTAGAATTGCTACCAAAACCATATAAAACAACAAGCAGGACACAACTGTGCCGTCGAATCTCACTATTTTGTGATACTTCGGTTGTAAAATTATGAAGTTGGGGTTAACTGCTTTCGATTTCATTGTTCTCTAACTAACCTCTCTGGCATAGTAGCACCTTGAGAGATAAACGTCCCAACCAGCATAGCTCAGCTAGGTTATGACAGACAAACCCAAATGAGCCAAGGTAGACGCTGTAGTCGACAGGTAAGAATATACTTGTACTTATGTAATATTGTGGTAAAAATGCATGTTTGCACCTTCATCTATCACATTGAAGAATAGTGATTTATCCTGGTATAAGTCTATGTATTAAGCTGTGAGTTACATTACGTGAAGGTTAATGGTATTAGTGGCTGAAGTCAATATAGGTAGAGCAGGTTTCAAACACAGGACCTATAGTCTGGATGGTGTCAGCTAATGGACCATATCTCTAGAGAACAGAGATACTCACTAACACCCAGTTGTAGCTGTGCTGTCTGACTGAAAAACACCTCATTCCATTGATCTGGAGTTTATGGTAGTTCTCCTCACTCAGAAAACGCTCAGCAAGTACCAAGGACTGAATTAATTCTAATAACAGCGAAAGTTAGTCAATCAATATTAACATGGGACCAAGCATTATTGAGTAACTATCCAAGTTGCCAGATTTCACAGTAGTGCATAAAGATGAAGGACGGAGAAATATAAATAGTATGAGTATTAGAGAAAAATAAACGACAGGATAAATAACGGAAAATGTAATGAGGGTAAGGACGAAGAAATTAGTGGATGCTTCAGTACCGTGAGATAGATTGAGACATATCACATGGAGCCTTCAACCACAGATTTCCGTCGTTACATGGGTTCAGTTCTGGAAGCTTACATTTCCCGAGACGGTTCAAACAAACAGTTAGACATTGTAGACTGATGATACGTTCAAGCTTGGTCACCCTTAACTTTGCTCATCCCAAACCTCCTTCAGCTAATATTATGCGGCAGAGTAAACGGAATATACAACACATCCACCTTCAACAACTGTCTCAAATCTATAGAGTAGGATAGAGAGAATTGTTGCGTAGTACAGTTAACCCTGTGTGGAGCTGTTGCTCAGTGGTTTAGGGAGATGATCTATCAACCATTGGGTCACTGGTTTGAGCCTCGCTTCACCTATCGAGGTTTGGGCAGCCAGGAAGTATGACCAGCCCTCACACAAAAGGTGTGGCACCTCGCCAACAACACGGATGTGCACAAGATGAATCAATGCGTTTCTCCCTTTCGTTCCGCGCAGTCGACCCTCAGTAAAAAATCGTAAATCTTGTTGATTACAAGTGGCCTAAGTCGCTGGAGTTCAGTCGAGGCTTTCGTATCTATGTCCAGGTTTCGTCAGTCACTGAGCTATTAAGGTTGGTTCGACTTCCTAAGTTAAGTGTTCAACGCACCCAACGACTTCACTCTTTATCGCCAGATGAGGTATGAGAGTATACCTGTCTTCGAGGCATCAAAATAGGACAATTTGCATTCGGATAGCGAAAAACGTACCCATAATATTCAAAAATTGTCACTCAATGTGTCCAGAAGACTGTATGTCTTCAACACCTTTGCCCAACCAGACTTTCATTTTCGCTACACAGTTCTGCTAAAGTTTGTCGTAACAAGGTTAATCCATATAGTCAGATAAGGGGATTTGTATGAACACACATCTATGACAAAGTTATGGAGTAGGGATCCTCTATGGACAACATATACAACTCACCTGCTACTTAAAGATAGGCTTCAACACGCCTATGGGCGTGTGAATATGAAGCCTTAGTATTTACCCGGTACCCTTTCAGTGAAACACTGCTGTATGACTCTCCAATAGACATAATTAAATACTACATTCACACCAAGAAATACAGCTAGTGTCGTACCTCAGTAGGTGTCCATGTTCCAAGACCTGAGGGAGTGCAACAATTTAGCTAATATATCTATGGTCAAGTATGACACCTACCTAGTTTTCTCAGGTTTGCTAATCTTGAATTTCACGTAAGAGTCTAATTATTACAGAACTAAGAATCTTAAACATTATGTTCATCAAACTGATTCTTGCTAAGAGGATATCCCTTCTTTCTAGCATAAACAGCAACTGATACCAGCCAGAGGGGCTCACACCTAGTTCTTATACACCAGTCAACACTCCAGTCAGTATGACCAATAAACTCTCGGCCACACTTCATATATCTCCATTTATTTTCATCCAGTATCACAAAAAAGCATTTAGAGAGAAAACTCTTACTATATGTACTGAAATAAGCTTCTGATTTGAGACCCTTTGTCGACTTAGAGTATGTTAGTAATATCACTAAGCTATTAGTGAGGTAGTCTTTTACACCCTTAGGTTCATAACGAATGTTAAGCGTGAGTTTCTCGTCTTCCAAATATAATATGATGCTTTAGAACTTCGGAAGTAACGTCTCCATGAATAATCAGGAGGTGAAGTAGATAAACACACTGAATCCCATCGACCTGGAGTGTTATTAGCCTCATTTAGTTGGTGGTTGGCGAAACCTTACCATCGAGAGCCATTTCTGACTTCGACCAACTTACACCAACTTTAGTGCAAGCGACATATCTGAATACTTTACAACAATCGCATACAATGAGTAATGTGCTAAAACGCGAACGATTAAGGTGAAAGACACACAGAGCTTACAGGTAATTAGTCAAGAAACATTGAGGATTAAATAAAGGAGTTTAATCAATCGAAGTGAGCCTGAATCAGCATGTGCTATACATGCATAGTGAGTGACTACCTCAGCTGAGATAGTTTAAAATGGGTGATATTTTAACTTGCTGAGACTGACGCATGGCATCGACCCATGAAGTCCGTCTGTTGGTCTGAGTCTTGTAAGATATTATGGGTTTCGTGATTAGCGTCGAAAAGATAAACAAAATCGGTGGTTGAAAAGTAGGAAAAACCATTCAACACGTTGCATATACCTTAAGCTTATCTAATCCGTGATTATTTTACGGTTACATTGTTCCTTTTAGTTTTTAACTACTGTTGACACTACAATTTTGAATTCATTAACTTTACTCCTATCAATTAGCAACTGTTACGATACAGTGCAACAACCTCGGTCAATACAAAATATTGCTGGATCATTCGCTGCAGTTAGGCGTGGTTCTTATAAAAATTACAAAGTAATTGTGATATAAAGCATTTTACTAAATAACTAAAGCTCTTATAAGTTTTATTTGGATTCCAATGTCAGATTTAAAACTAGAAACCTACAAGCGTGACAGGCCAGCGAGGAGAGTAACCAATATTCAGAGATTTGCAGTTGATGGAAGTAGAACCTGGATTATTTAATGTCAAATCGCACATTGAAGTTGTGGAACCACCAACAGAAAATCCAGGTGGTATTGAAGTAGATAACAAGCCTGTCAAGTCAGGAGTTACACGAGCCACCTCTTCAGCTGACATGTGTTAGCTTGATGCCTTCACCAGTCCCGAATATATACACAGGTGGTAGAGCCAAAGCTCAAATGGGGCTGAAAAAAAGAGAAACATTGCAGAGTGAAGACATGGTGATGCGAATGTAACAGGGAAAAACCATGGGATTCAAATACCACGCGATAAGAAACGAGTCGCTCAGAGTATTTCAGAAAGCGCTGACCTTGAAAATACTTTAGATATGAAACTATCATCAGAAGCATGGTTGGACTGTTTCACGAGAAAACTTACGTAAGTGTGCACACTAGCGACAGAATCTAGGAAATGAAATGCGACTTGCCTGGTATGAACTTGCCAAAACAGGTTTCTATTAGTTCTAGCTTTGTAGTTACAAGAAAGTCGCTCTACAGAAGCATTCACAACGCCAGAGGTGGAGTTGTGGCCCACTCGTTTGGGGAGATGACTTTCAACCAGTAGGTCGCGGGTTCGAGCACAAAACCACCAATCAAGGTTTGGGTGACCAGGTAGTATCATTAGCTCGCACACAACAGGGGTGACCCATTGCTTACTGCACGACTGTGCACAAGGTTACTGAGCGAATTCTGATTATTTCGAACGCTACATATAATGGTTAAGTGAAGTAGAAGCAGGTACAGCCCATTTGAAACTGATTTAATACCTTTAGATTGTCTATAGGTTTCTGAAAGTGAACATTGTGGAGACATCAAAAAGCTCAAGAACAAAACCCTGGGACACATACGAAGTATAATGCCGACAGACCTAGGACACCAATAACCACTTCAGCAACTGGTTTACGAACTGTGAAACCTGAATATTTCGCAAATGGATAGGAGGATGAAGAAACTCAGACACCGAATAGTTTTGTGTAGTAGGCTACGTGCCAAATCTAGTGTAAGGGCTTGTAATACCACCAGGTTACTGTCAAACTGAAGAATTTGACTGTTGGTTTCAGCCATGTGGGGCGATGTAGACTAGGTGGTTGGGGTCCGCGGGACAAGAGAAACCAGTGGTTGGAGACTAGGTGATATGGCTCAGAACCGAAGTTGGTGACGCAGATGCATACACACATCCTCATCTTAACGCTATGCCGAATCTCACCATTTTCTCATTCTTCCTTTCTCTCTTTTAGTCCTTCATGTTCCTTTTGAGTGAATTTTCTTTTCTTCATCTTCCGCGTAACTGCTTTTTTACTTGATATACTGATATGAGCTGTGGCAACTCGGACCATAACGCAGTAATGCCTGGGCCTATGTTGATTTGGATGGATGGAGAGTGAATCAGGTTGAGTGGACATTAACCCATAGCCCGATAGTCTGTAGACGAGTACACAGGTCACTATCTTGTAGTTTTAAATGTCATCGTTCAAATGCAATGACACAATGCACTGACAAGGACTGCATAAAACAACTGAACAACAACAGTAGAATATTTACCTCCAAGAAACTTTTGTTAGCCTTGACACTTACGAACGAAGAATACAGGAAAGTTAGGGTGGTCATAAACACTAGGTACTTACTAGGGCCGCTACATCTATCTCTGTTTGGAATATGCCCTTACTACATATTGAACAACCAGTACAACAGAGAGATCCAAATACTTTTGGGTAGTATCGTTACTAACCAGTCTGGTGGTTACGAACTAGGTTTGGATGACCTTGTCTTCGAGGAACCCGAAAGTCGATTGTTTTTCAATGGGCCCTGAATAAGAAATAAGGACATCTCAAACAGTGTCCTAAACCATTAGTTAAGGATGAGTCAAGAACGAAATAGAAACGCATACAGAAACTGCACGTAAATTCGTGGAGTAGACACCCAACTTCACCTGTTGTGTGAAGGCTAATAATACTACCTGGTAATCCAAACATTTGTAGGTGGAGCTGGATTAAAGTCCATGACCGGCTAGAAACCAAGTACCTAGATCAACGAGCCATAGCTCCCAAAGGGTGAACACCCCAGTTTAACGCTAGTTGTTCGTGGTCATTGGATTCTACCCTCCAATTCAAAAGGACTACTGTGCTAGAATACTCAGTACAACATAGCAACGGTTCAATTTTTACAAAGCAATGATTGAACTTGTGTCTGGACACTTAAATAGGAATCCCCTTCTTGAAGAGGCGTAAACATACTTCCAAAAGCACTAACACGTGTTACAACGGATAGATTATATCACCCGCATCCATCTGAGCAGTATACAGGTGGATAAGACCTACCCATCTTAATGATACGCTAACAAATCACATTTTCTTCAGAACAACCAAGCTAACGGCAGTTAGCAAAACGTTTAGACGAAAGTGGACAAGTCACCTCTAATATTCCTCAACTGTTTTACCTCTGTAATCCCAACGAATATGGTAGATACATAAATTAGCTGACGAATGCAGCAGACAATGGTTGGAAAGAAAATAGCTAAGGTTGACTACTTAGTATTTTGCTCTCGAGAGGGATGGAATGGTAGATAGTATATTTGCAGGAGTGGTACAACCTACTGACAGACCTACGTTGCTCCTAGTTAGTCATAGGAAAAGATATCTACGTTATTTTATCTAGCTGTAACGTATATAAAGCGTGACATTGAAGAACCCAATGTATCAATAGTATCTTCACGTCCTTAGGTTGATATGGTTGTATTAACCGACACCACTCACCATTACCGACAAATAAGGGGTTCTGTGAGTACTACTTGATGAAGTTCATTTAAATCGTAACACAGTACTCACGTCGGTCTTCTCAAAGCCATACAGCCATTTGAAAGCCTGTAGTGAGTTAACATTTGAATGGCATGTAGCCGAATAACGTTACAGACGGCTTTACCATGTGTACTACTGCTTCTGCTGAATATTTGAAGGTTGGCTTTTCAATTTAATGACGAATATGTACAAGACCTATTTCTTCTATAATGCTGATGTTCAGAATGAGTCATTAGCATATTGGATGTGACGTGATAGTTATCGAGAGAGACAGTCGATGTATTCAGACAATCAGTAGTTGAGAATACGCACAACCTTTATTTCTGGAGTTAAAGTGAACTAGGAGCCGAAGACCTCTTGGTGTTAGTTGTAGCACTATTGTGCGGATTCTGAAGTGGGTGAGTACTAAGGAGTGCAGTAACCAGTTCACAACTGAGAGGCTGGTCACATTACACTAGAAGACAGCTCGTACACATGGTAGGAGTCGATCTAGGTAATATAATTATAGTGACGCAGCTGAAAAACACTAAGCATATCAATCTACCGAAAATCAACTGTAACAAGTAACTACGGTTTGTAAAGCAAAATGAGTCAGATATCGTCTTGAAGTGATGAGGTCTGCTGCAAACAATCCACCGTAGCTTAGAAAAGCTGGTTTTGACTGAGCAGTATTCACTACAAGGGAAAATGAAGATTCACTTACCTCCTGTTTTGTTGCATTTAAAAACGAAGACCTAACTTGTAAGCTATTTAATGACAAAACATCTCAGCTTTAACGTTAACGTCAGTCATCTTCAACATATCACTTCGTATAACTAACGATATCAACAAAGGCTTAAAATCGATGGTGTGGTACGGATAAGTAAGAAGCATGAAACAATGGCAACTTCTGATAACTCTGAAGTATCCTGCCAGAAATATGTTGAGGCAATAGTTTGAACAAAGAATCTTTGAATAGTGTCATAGTACAATAGCATTTCAAGATGATACACAAGATCGCTGTAAGAGTACTAGGAATATGTGATAACTATCCTGCATATAAATCTATTCTAGCGAAAGCGTGCATTTACACTTCATTTCAGTTTCCATAAATTTTCTGCATATGTATATCCACTTCAGTATTTCCCAAGAGGCTTCGGATTAGCCTAGAGATGATAGTCAATACGAAGACTTCTTGAAAGTTTTCCGGAATATAGTCACATTCACTAATTGAAACGCATAAAATTAGATAAACATGATTCCATGAAACTGTCCAGCTTCCAAAACTTACAAATATGTACAGTATATACAACCAGCCCAACGCGCGTATAATCCGCAACTGACCACAAAATGAGAGAACCTTGAAGCATTTAAACAAAACAGTGTGTAAAAACTGATGCCATAAAATATTATTTATGTAAATCATATATTTTTTTAGTTCAATACAAAAATATAAATGTTGCATCTATGGTTATAAAATATCTTCATCTTGCTTATTTGGCGCTTTTATATGAAGTACATATAAAATTAAGCTACCGTTCATCTTCCTTAGGTTTTTTTTAACGGTTATGAGTTAATGATAAGAACTATATCACCAGCAAAAACCTTCAGGTACTTTATATGAACTTTGTACACTACATTTTGAAAATACCGCTAATTCCAGTTTAGCCAAGTTTTCCAAAGGATTTTCCGCTGATAGACTTTGTTGTGGTGTTTAAATGCAGCATTGTTTCACTTAATGTAATCTGTTTGGGAGATATGATGCATTTTGCTATCTGTAATCTGATTGGTCGATGGCAGGTAATAATTTCTTCCTAATGCGAACAACCCATTAGTTTATCCGTGACTCATTTGCCAAGTAGCCAAACCTAAACACTTTATTTTTCAAGCTGATGCTTTGGGATTTATTCTTATTCTTTGGAGATGGCAATCAGCCAAGCTGACGCCGATGATGAGTGCCTAGTTTACCCAGCGATAACTAAAAATTATTCTGAAATTAAAAATGCAGATGGCTCATCAGTGGAATTAAATCCCGTACCACCCAATCCGAACTCTGTCTCCCGACCTCTACGTTCTACACTAAAGACAAGGTCAAAGTTTGAACCTGATAAAGTTGGAATTGACGCATATAATTCAGAGAGAAGCAATAGGATTATCACAGTAGATACCAGAGAACAAATAATTCCTGACAGTTCCGTTCGTAAAATTTGCAATTTAAACTCCACAGACAGAAACAGTGAGATAAAAAGTCAAAGAATGACGCTAAAAAATGGCATGGAAGTATGTGATCCAGATCAGACCACATCACATGGATCTAAAGAACATTTAAAGAGGCCTTCCATACAACAGTTAAGAAAATATTCAGTTGTGGATCCGAATACTTTGAAGTTTATTGAAGGTGAGTAGTTTTATCATCATTCAGCATTATCAAAAGTAAATCTGCTGCACTCTTGTTTTATTTTGTTTTGCTTTACTTAATTCCTCACTGTTTAAAGTAATAAAAAGGGTCAACAAGTTCCTAATTTGAAAACAGACTGCTTTAAGATAAACCATACAGTTTTACATTGTTATTCAAATGAACGGCGTTGAGTATAACTTTCCATAAATGATATTCTCAGTTTTCTAAAAAGGCGCTTGTATTACCTTCATAAGGATCATGTAGATAATTTTCACCGAGAAAACAATATTCCATATTTGAAGTTTATCCCCTTCTCTGTGAACACACTCGAGTTTAAGTCCTCAGTTTCACATTGACTACCAAGATTTAGTTTATCATCACAATTATCACTCCTTAATGCATAGATAATTTCATATGGAAGATACTTAAACAAGCTAACACTATAGAAATGTAGATAGAGGATGGTGAATGATATTGAAAGTTTTCTTTCAACACCATTCCACCATTACATACAAGGTAAACAGCTGATCAAGTCTGCTGTTGTGCTGCCAGTCAATTTCTTTACCTACGTCATTCGCCAACCCTTCAAATTATTATGACTGAATTCATCATACAATTTATATCTATTTCTATCTTTTAAGAAAGGGAACAGGGTGAGTAACGATATTATTCTCTTTTCTTTACTCGAGTATGACAGCAGTGAATCCGCGACTCTTCATACATGGTCATGGAAGTCACTTTCACCAGGGAATCGGACCTGTACAACTTTTGCTATTTAAGGATAGGTGAAATAGAGATCAGTTGAGTTGACTGATTTGGTACAAAGTTTTATCATTTCTCATTGAATAATATGAGAACAGGTCGGTGTAAACTTGTCTGTGTAAGCTATTTAGGATCCAAGCACTAGGAGAATTAATCCTAAAAACGACTGAGAACTTGTGATTATGATTTCATTTTTTTGTTGTTGAATTTAGTATTGTAAAGAAAGTGATTCAGTGACTGTTGACATAAACTTGAGTGTTTCAAGTGATAACTGAGAAGGAGGAAGGGTGTGTAATTCAAGTCTCAATGGGATTCGGTCAGTTGACAGGTTGAGACTGACCGGTTAATTTAATTGGGGATAAAAATAAATACCTTGTTGAATTCCTCAGTTTGAAACAAGTAACCATACAGTTGACGGTGGGAGAGCATGCACCTGAATGACTTTAAAAACAAATGGAATATGAAACTTTGATAAGCGCAGTTAGGAGACGATCCTCTTCATCTACAGCTAGACATATAATAGAAACCGGTCAGAGGATTAGTGTTCAAACAGCTTTCAATTTTTTGTATAGAAACAGTCAGGGACGCATACTGAAAGTTGTGGATTAGTGTTCAAACAGCTTTCAATTTTTTGTATAGAAACAGTCAGGGACGCATACTGAAAGTTGTGGAAGCGATCACCATACATAAATTCAAATCATCTTTATGTGTAAAAAAGGAATTTGTTCGTGTACACCACACCTACGTTAATAAAATTTTTTGTTATGTCACCCCTCCTTTTTCTTCTCATCTTTCTTCATTAATTTTAATCCCCCTGTTTATCCTAATTGTTATATTAATCATTTCATTCATTCTTCGGTTTGATATAATCATTTCAAATTGACTCTGTCTAATTGTTCTCATCAGTTGATGAAACCGAAGCTGAAACTATTGTATCACCTAAGAAAAGAAGGCTGTAACTAACTGAAAGAAGTCAAAGAAAACAGGGATACTTTGTCAACTGCTCATGATAAGAGATTAGGCATCATATTAATAAACATGATTATCTTGATTAAATGTTAGATATTCTCTTGGATGAAGAAACGTTCCAGAAAGGTGAAAGTGAGAAGAAAACGGAATATATATATATAAGGGTAAATTACACAGGTTCCGAAAAGGATTAAAAATACCTCATCAATCGCTTCAGAACAATACAATAAAGCTGAGAGCGACTGGATCTATGATTCCCCGACTTCTTGGTCTATCCAAAGTTCACAAAACTGGACTACCATTGCGTCCTGGTTTAGATATGTCTACTTCTTCCCACGATTTTGTGATCAAGTGGTTAGCTGAACCTCCAGAACCATTAGAAAGGCAGTTTTGTTAACATGAAGCTTCCCAATCATCATTTGAAATTAAATTTACAAGGTCTAACTTAAATTTATCGTTAGGTGGACGCATAAACCTACTCTGTATTACAGAAGCCTTGATGATATATTATCTTAAAACCGAAACTGTTTTTGGGGTGCCTTTCAATAACCTGAACCTAGAGGATAATCAATTGCATAGATCACTGTCTAAGTGAATGGAATTCACATGTAATTAGCCCCCTATACAACTGACTATCGTTTACATTCAATTATTTTGATGATGTCCTGAATTTCGACCATATAGCATTACGTAAGATTATGCATACATGAGTTGTAATTGAGCTATATTCTGATAATATTTGTTTCGAACATTGCCTTGTCTGAAAAGAATTCAAGGACACATTTCGATACTGAAGACTGACTGAATGATTTTTAAATATATTTTCGTTTAATTACATATCGGCATTTAGAGATTGTATTCCTGTTTATGACTGAATGGTTAAAAACAGACAACACTATCTGTAAACGCATCATTTTTATACCGTATTGGAAATTCAGTGTGTTGGCATAATATATATTTGTCCTGTTTATTTTACTAACTGGTGCTTGGTAATTTTCCCTATTGCTGGAGTGTTATTACGCTCTGATGGACGCACTTAAATGTAACTTCCTTACAGGCAATAAATAATAAATCGGGTGTGTTTCTTATTAGAAAGCTAACAGTTACAATAGGTTTCTTCTGCAGAAATAACAATCAGGAAATTTAGATTTGTAATACATCAATTGAACTTCGCCTGGTTAACTAGTTCATTAGTTAATAGCCGGTCCTAAGCCCACCAGCAACAACAACAAGCTCCAATCACCATGAACGGGAGAAACTTAAAGGAAGTAGCCTCCTTCACCTATCTAGGCAGCACTGTTTCAACTACAGGTGGCGCAGACGAGGACGTCGGAGCCAGCCATGATCGGAAAAGCAAGACAGGTGTTCAGTAGCCTGAAACCAGTGTGGAGATCTACTGCACTCCACTCAGCATAAAGCGTGAACAAGATCCAGATTCTCAACACCGACGTCAAATCAGTGCTTCTGTATGGCTCAGAGACTTGGCGCGTTACGAAAGGGATTTCCAATAAACTGCAGACATTCATCCACAACTGCCTACGCTGGCTTGTTACTGGAGATGCGATGGCCAGAATAATGAGAATGAGCAACAAGGAACTGTGGCTGGGCAACGAACCAAAGAGGCAAGAACGTGACGCTGAACAAATATGCATCGGAAGGAAGTTGAGATGGATTGGGCATACACTGAGAGTGGAACCCCGATGGGACGCGACGAGTTGGGCGTCGGTGGTGAGGGTGACATGGAGGAGATGGTGCGAGGAGGAAATGAGAGGTTGTGGGCTGTCGTGGAGCTATGTTTAAAAGATTTCAGAGAACAGAGTGCACTGGAGACGTGCCACTGAAGCCCTGTGTTCCATTAGGAACCCAAGGGACAAATAATAATAATACATCAATTGGACTGTAGACGATGGGTGGTCTGTCAGTAGGAAGCATGTGACTTGGTGCATTACTTAATGCACAAATCTAAACACTTTTGGTTGGTTGCAATTTAGGTGACACTGATGCTGAAAATTTAGCACTGATGGGGATGACTTACGTAAATTCAGTTCATTTGGCTTCAGACACAAGCATTTACATTTCACAGTATTTTTCAATCTAGCTTTTCCCATCTTCATTCTTTCTATCGGTTTAGCTCTCTTCGATAACATTATTATGTTATGTATAGTGAAAAGAGCTGAGGAAATTGACTGTAAGAGTGATTCACGTTGGTATGATGGTAGTTTTGGTAATGTTAGTGTTTGATTGTTAACTGCGTAGCAGCATAACTTCACAAGAAATGATGCCGAACATTACTTTTCTCAGAATTAGAATAATTTATGCCTAACCTCTTTTCACATGCTGCGTTATAACAAACTAATGTACTGCATTTCTCACTTTTACGCATGAAGGAAAAGCATGGCAAGTGAGATGAAGTTGGTAGTCATTTTTAAAAGTATCACTTTGTTATTTGTACACTGCCCACTTTGATGGGCTACGTATATTTACCAGTATTTCTGATTGAAACCGTCTATAATGTAACTCACTGACCACCTGTAGTTATCAACCTGAAGCCATGACCTCTATCTGTGCATGTGTGTGCGTGTATACTACCTGGTTACCAAAATATTGATTGATGGGTGTAAATTCGAGGTCATAGATGAATCCCAGGCACTCAATAGATTGCGACACAACTCAACCTAAAAACACTACTTGGTAGAGCATCAAGCTGGAAATCCGGTGATCGCTGGTTCGAATTCGACCACGGTCTAAATTTCCATTTCAGTCATCACTCAGCATAACTTCTAATCTCTTCTATTTCATGTATAGATTTCTACGGTAGTAGGTTATACATTGTGTTGTCTATGTATGCACCTCAAAGTGGTGAAAATATGTTAAAATGTACCATTTTTTCGTAGTCATGATAAAGAAGGTTTTTTGGTCTTTTATGTACCCAGATGTCGGCCCGTTGATGTAACACAGTACAACACTTATTTCACGTTGTGAAAAAAGCATTATATTGATAAAACTGCTGCATTTCACGATGGAGAGTAACCAACTACATACTGTCTAATCCTAAGTGCCAGCCGAACCCCTTCGATCAGTTTTCAGTATGATTACCATACTAAGACTGTGATCATCATTGTACTCTTTGCTGGGTGTCAGCTGCTTTGAGGCAATCTGCAGGAAGCTGTGGACTTAGGCTTCGTATTTGCTGGGTCTCGTCAGCAAGGGATATCTGCAACCTCGAGGGAACTGATATCCTCTCTGAGTTTAGAACACATGTCACCAAG